GTCTCAGTTTCTCCGAAACACCCGCAACATACGGAATAACCACTGGTTTGGGTCTGGGTTTGGGGTCTTCATTTTCACCTGCAGGTTGCATGGACAGTTTTTGCAGTGCAGATTGGGTTGTTTTTGACCTATTAGACCAAGTTTAGATGGAATAAACAGGTTTGGATCAGTACTGTTGCTCCTGATTTTCTCATTTGTTGAATGTATTATCTGTTTTATGAATATTTGCCCACAGTTTAGTCTAAATAAAGTGTCCTTCCCTCTGCTTTGCATACATTCACAGATTTTTCCTGGAGTGATCGATGCAGAGAGAGTTGATAAGCTGCAGATTGAATGCTCCGGGGGTCGAGTCAATCAAGAGAGCTGTCAAAGAGGCCTTTCAGTGACGCAGCAGGCAGCTGGACCGCTGCGGTCCACCATGAGAACCCTCCAGCCTGGCAGACGTACAGGCGGGCAGAACCTGGGCGAGCCACTTGGCACCAGAAGCGCAGCCGCCTTCCTGGTGCTGCAGCGGCTGGCACCGAGCGCAGGCTGGCAAGGACACAAGGCCCAAACAAACACACACACACACACACACACACACACTCCTGCTGCGGAGCAAACGGAGGCGGGCTCTTCAGAAGCTGCTGTTTGTCTGCAGACGGCTTTCATCTGAATGGAGGCCTTTAACAGGCGTTGTGTGGCGGCCCTCGCCGCACGCTGGGCAGCCGGTGATCCTCTCCTGTCGAGGTTTTAATTAATAAACAATGTTTGACGGCCACAATGCACTTGGAGGGACAACACTGACTCCTTGGTGGCCTTGATGCTGTTTGTTTTGGAGACGAACTCTGACTCCCACTGAGTTTACCACAGAAACCACGAGGTGCCTACAAAACCCATTTCAAGTGGTACGGTGCTGTGATTTTCAGCTGCAACAGGTCCAGTTATTACATGAGAACTGAAACAGTCAGTCAACGACAGAAAAACTAAATTAAAAAATGTTAGTTTTACAACTTAAACTTTGCCTTTTTTTTTTAGAAACTAAAACATGAAGTTTTAAACAAGATGTGCTATTAAATCCTTCAGTTAGGGTTTATATAGTGGTCTGACTTCCTCCTTGTAACTCCACAAGCCCCTCTTTACTTAGGTGTCTCAGATCAACTCGTTTTGACACTGTCTCTTTGAGAGACATTTACGAAGATATAAGAGCGCAGAAACCTTTTTTTTTTTTTTTTACAAATTAAGATTTTAACAGGAGAAAACTTGTCCATCCAGCCTTACATGTTGGAGCCAGAGGAGAATGAAGACCACCTTCAAACACAATGAATAAAAAAGCCTTATCAATGTATCATTT